GCCCTCGCCCTCCCGCCGCCCAGCGCGCAGCGCCCAGCAGCCGGCCCCAGCATGACGGACCAGGCGGCCTTCGACACCGACATCGTCACCCTGACCCGCTTCGTCATGGAGGAGGGCCGGAAGGCCCGCGGCACGGGCGAGATGACCCAGCTGCTCAACTCGCTCTGCACCGCGGTCAAAGCCATCTCCACGGCCGTGCGCAAGGCGGGCATCGCGCACCTGTGAGTCCTTCTGTCCAGCTGGGGATGTGCCCGACAGGCTGAGGTCTGGCCCCCTGGCCATCCTGCCGTCAGCCTGTGTGTCTGTCTGACAACTGGGAGGTTGGCACTCGCGCTCGCTCTCTCTCGCCCTCCCTCCCTCCCTCCCCAAAGGTTGGTACTCAAGCCCTGGTTCCCCCCTTACCTGAGCTTGGAGGTGCCCACCTGGGGGCCTGCCATCCCACCCACACCTGCCTCCATCCTGCAGCCCTCTCAAGGCGCTGACCGCCCTGCCTTGCTTGGCACCCCTGTCAGCTTCCTCCTGGTGAAACTGGCTGGCGGGTGGGCACCAGGCCTGCTGGCCATGCCCATCCTAGCCTCATACAGCACAGTGCTGGCGCGGTACCCTCCTTTCCCTTTCTCTTCTTTGACCTCTTTCACCCTCTATGGAATTGGGATCTCAAGTTGGGTTTCTAGCCCAGTATCTCCTTGCGCCTAAACAAGTCCTGTTTGGAGCCAGGGGAGCCCCGGGCAGGAAGCCTGCAGCCCAGAGCTCTCAGGAGCAGCAATGCTGGGTGCAAGGGGGCAGCAGGTCCAGGCAGGTCTGAGACTGCATTGTTAAGAAGTTTTCCGTGGTGCCCGTGTTTCGGGTCTGCAGATCACCTGTGTGCAGCAAAGGAATCATAGGACATGGGGGTTCAAAGGACACCTTCTTGCTAGGCTTTTTTAAGTAACACAGATGCCCTTTGGTTTATTCTGGTGTACACCAGTATTTTATACTTATCTGGTCTTCACTCAGCTGAAGGGTACCTGGGTTTTCAGGTTGCCCCCACTCCTTCCTAATATTCCACACACTCAGGGACACTATAAAAATTGGGGACGATGCTCATAGCCTATCTGAGACAGTATAAATCCTGCAACCTGGCGTTTTTTTCTGGTGAACCTTTGGCTCTGGTCCCACAGCACAGCTTGGTGACTTGTAAAGGAGTGTATGGCCACCCTTATTTCCAGAACCAAGCAGGGATGGGCCTGGTCCGGAGAGGGACTGGGACAGGCATGTTAGGACCTGTGTGACTCCATCACTACTTCACCATGGCCCTTCTTAATAATACATTTCTAAGGCATCTTTGCTTTAGGAAACACACTCAGTTAAAATCTTACTTCAAATTTAATTTACAACAAGCAGAGGTGGCCTCATAGCTTTACCTGTCTTTGAGAACAAGAGGCTTTCTTAAAAAAGAGTATTTGTCATTTCCTGTGTTACTTCAAAAGTATGTCTGTACTTTTCACGCACCCAAAGAAATTTGGAAATGCAAGATCTGCTTTGAGGTGCCTATTTCCCACCTTTTAAGGAACTTCAGATGGTGGGACCTGGACGAAGGGTACTAATGTTAGCTTTGTGAAATATGTGTATTTGTTTAGACTAAATAGTGGTGGACATCAGGTTTAACAAATATTGTTGTTGTTATCATTATAAACTACCTAATAAGATGCACTCATTGACAAAAATTTAAACCACTCAGAAGAGCACAAAGGGAAAGGGGAAACCCACCTCTATCCATTCTCTGGGGTGTCCTCCATTAATAATTTACTGGTTATTTTCTCAGGTACTTATTTATACTCATATAAAGTTATACTTGGGTTTATATTTACATATGTCCATATGTAAATAGCAAAAAAAATGAGATCACAGTTAACATATTCTTCTGCAGTTTGCTTTCATCATTCAACAATATATAATGACCATCGTTCAATGGTAGGACTTATAAATCCACCGCCTTCATTTTAACTGTTACCTGGTGTTCCATTGCAGGGATATATCACAAGCTATTTTACTCTTCCCCTGTGTTAGCACATTTCATTGGTCTTTCATTATTTCAAACACCATTGTATTCTTGGAACAGGGGTTCACGCCTGGTCATGTGACTAGTTGGCAGGGAGGACCGGAACTGAGACACTTAAACACTTAAGTGCTCCTGTGGGAAATAAAAGTTTGCTGTGTCAGTATGACATGCTTAGGGAGGCAGCAGTAAGACAAGATCTCAAGTCAGGGCTCTAAATTACATTCATTAATGGCTTTGATGTCCTGGATGAAAAAGCCAGAGTACCTGCAAATAGCTTGTTAGTCCTGAAGACTTGCCCTAGGAGGGCATGTACCTGGGATGACAAGATGATTGCTGATATGCAGGAACCTCACAAGCACCAGTTTCGGGAGCTCTGCCATGATGTCTCATTAAGGAGGCTTCAGGAGGTTCAGCTAAGAGCCCGGCTGGAGTCCTCTCTCTCCCATTCTCTCTCCTTCTCTCTCTCTCAACCAAGTTGCTCTTTAGTCACTGTTCTTGATCTTAATAAGATATTCATAGAATCATTAACTTTTAAGCTGAAAGCCTAAGAAGTCACCTGGAGCCATCCCTCTTTCTACAGACCAGGACCCCAAGGCCAGGGAAGACAAGGTGACCTGGCCTGTGGCCCAGGTTGGGCTCTTTTTACCAAACCACACATCTCTTCCTTTATTTTTTAGAAATCAGTTAAAGCTGATCCAACTCTAAATCTCATCTATTAATTACATCTTTGATGTGAATTAAGACTTGTATCACAAGATGCCATTGCCTTAGAGCCAACCTGTTCTTGAAGCCCCTTCTCTGTGCTCTGGCTCCTCCACCCACTGTCAGCAGACATGAGGGCGGCCAGCCTTCTGTTCTCTCATGAGACCTGCAGCCTGCAGATGGATCTGATGAGTTCATGGTTCAGGTTCCAGGGTTCCCCATTTCTGTTTCCATTCCTTTAGGAGAAAATGGTCCTCTGTGTCTTAGACTTTTGCTTTAGACATGTTCAGTTGGTTCCCTTTTGTACGTGTTTCCAAATCACTGTTTGAAGAACTCACTGGTTTTGTTCAGTTCAGAAAAGGGTTATCGAGCACCCACAATATACAAAGTTCCTGAAGAGCCTGAGAGGAGAATGACTCAGAGCGTATGCTGTAGGAAAAGTACAAGTATAGAATTAGTTATAAAACACAATAGAGATTCGGAAAGACGCTTTCAGAATCAGATGCAGGTGCCAAAAATAGGGTGTAGATGCAAAGGATGGTGGAGCATTGAGATGGGCATCTCTGGTGGGCAGGAACAGATGGTCACAAGGCCTGAGGGCTGGAGAGCATTTCATCATGGGAGGAACGGTACCAGGTGGGAAGATGTTTCTGGAAAAGGTGCTCACTCAGTTTGACTGGAGCATGCTGTACATGTGGTGGGGTGTTTGTGGACTCTGCCTTGTGGGTGCATTGGGGAGCATCAAATGGAAAAGGTGAATACTTTATATTTTGCAGGTATGCAAAGGAGAGAGAAGGAAGGTTTTTGAGCAGGGCAGTGCCGCGTTTAGAGCTTAATCTGGGGAAACTGTGGCTGGAAGTATAGCATTGGAAGAGGGAAAGCTAAGACATGGAGAAAAGCGATAGAAAAGGGGAGGGCCAAGAAAGGCAAGGACCAGAGCTAGAGCATTAGCAGGAGGTGGGGGAGGACCTGGGAGGAGTGTGCGTGTGGACCGGGTGAGAAGGGCAGCTTCTCAAAGGGTGGGTCCTAGCAAGTGACAGCAGGGCCTGCCAATGAAAACAAAACTAAACAAAAATAGAATTCCAAAGGCGGGGCTGATCTTTTGAGGCTGGGGAAGGGAGAGAAGACGATTCCAACATTTTGGAAACATTGAACTTAAGGTGTCAGAGGGCTATGCAGTTGGAGATGTGGCCCAGCCAGCAGTTGGACGTGCCAGTCTGTAATTTGGGCATGAAGCACTGACTAAAGATTTGCCACTGGACTTTGGTCCATCCTGCCCTGAGGCAGAGAGGGAGAGGAGAAAAGCAGGCTGGGAGGAGAGATCAGGAACATGCAAGGCTTCGGAACAAATTTCGGAGAGAAGTGGAGCTGGGCTCAGATTCCTGGCTCTGCTATTTAATTTTTGTGAGGGTTTGAGCAATTGATATGACATCCTCTGAGACTCAGTTTCCCCACTTGTAAGATGGAGTCAATTGTCTTTTTGAAGCTCAGAGAGTTGTGTGAGGATGAACTGAGTTTATTAACGGGTACTAATATCATCAGTTTTTCTAAGCTGAAGATGATTGTTATTATTTTTATAAACTGGTATCTTTTTAGTTTGCTTTTCATTCCGTAGTAGTTGCCCACATGCAATCAGCAGGCATGCATTTCAGGCTAGACCATTAAATATTAAAACAATGCTGCACCCTCAGATTGGTTACGGGAAACCTCCCCCCACGTGGTCAGGTGGTGTTCAGAATGGTTGCTTTTATCTATGGGGTCCTCTCAGTATCAGTGGAAGAAAATAATAAATAACTTAGGTTTTAATTTTGGAATTACAGGCCAGTTAATACATGCTTCAGTCTATCTTCAAATTTGCAGCGTTTATGACAATAAACTTTTGGAAACGTTATCAGGCCTATTTTGCGTTTCTTGAATGAACTTCTGACCAGACTGTGACTTCCTTTCGCCCCAGAAGCACAGCCGGCCACTCTGTGCCCTACTTGCCTGTTTTGGCTGGCATGACCTCGGGCCGAGCCTGGGGTCTGTGACCTTTCAGGGCTGCTCTGGTTGGTGTCTCTCCTTCAGCGTATTTCTGGTCTGACCCTTGAACGTTCCCTGCTGGGTGAACAGTTGGTCATTTACCTAGAAATCAATTAATAACAAGTCAGTGTCACCTTGGACTTTAGTGATAAGAATTAGACAATAATCTGCCTCCTTTTTCCTCTGCTGACGTTTCTGGAAACGAGCGTCCTCCCTTGTTCTTTGTGTGCTGTGGAAAGTGCTTCCTGCTGTCCCGGCTGCAGGTGGACGTCGGCGGAAAGAGGCTAAGGCAGCCAGCCGGGAAGTCCTGAGCATCCTTCCTGAGCGTGGCCCTGGCTCTGGTCCTTGTTTCTAGGGCTGTGCTTCAGAAACCAGAAATCACAGACCTTGTGGCTGTGAAATGGCTCAGCCCCTCCGAGAAACCACGTGCCAATTTAAAAACAATGTTAATATTTA